TCAGCGATATGGTCGTCGGTTGAATGATGATGAACAGTAAGAGGCAGAGGAGCAATGCTAAAGGCAAGCTCACATTGCGCTCGTGGGAATCACAGCTGCGGGTGTTTGCATTTGAAAGACGGTGGCGACTTTCTTGTTCAAAAGGCAGCGACACCACCCCGCCTCCTACTCCAGATCACCGAGCCGCCCGCAGAGCAGGTGCCATACACTGTAGGGGCCCAGGCAATGAACCCACCTTCCACTGACCTACAGCGGCTGCGTACATCAGATATTACCAGTGTGAATGGTGGAAGTCAGGGTGCTTGGTGGCGCACCAACGTGATGAGCTCCGCGCAGGATCCAAAGTAGCAAAGAACCATGGACGAGAGTGGAAACGGAGAGAGATAGTAGAGCGGGAAGCTAGTAAAGCGACCTGCGCGGTATGGATTCACACTAGCTTGGGAGCCTCGTCTTGTGCCATCCCGGAGAACGGTTTCGGCGGCAGGCAGCAAAGGAGACGGTGACGATTGAGACATGGCGAGGTTCTGCAGGACCAAGTGCGTTGGGAGTAGGCGTCCATGGGTGTTGTTGGGTTCAGCCGTACTGTTGGGCGTCGATAAGATGCCCTGCGACATTGAGGAGACGAAGAGTTGGTTCATCAGTGGGGGCTAGAAACGAGCAGTGCGAGGGTGGCCAGGTACGTACCTTATCTCAAAGATCGGCCGTGCACCTTGCCAGATGTGGCGTCTGCCCCTGCCCCTGCCCAAGTAGATAGAGGAATTCTCAAGGTACCGCAGGCAAGTGCTCAAGGTACCCGAGGTGCAGCCTTGGGCAGTGCGGGCGGTCGAGTGGGTGCGTTTTATTGACACCCCTTGGGCCCAGGCAACCTGCCCAGTGCTGAGCTTGGAACGCTGACAACGATGCCCACAGCTAACCAGCCTTCTCACTGCTGCTGCCGTCAATGGTCCTGACAATGCCGATGGCGATGTTTACTCCCCGCGGCCGAGGCAACCCGCCAGATTGCATCTCGTATTCTACCAGCCTGTCTCGTAGCCTGCTTTGCTGCTTTGAAAATGAGTGCATCTTCAAGGGAGTTGCATCACAGCACGGATGAAGGGGGCGTGCATGTGTGGTGTCTCCGTCAGTGCCTACATTGTGGTTCAGTCGGGTGGCGTCTCCATCACCAACAGCGCAGTCAGGAAAAGAGCTTCTGACAGCAGCCGATGCACAGATGATTTCCATCGAGACGGCAACCCGTCAAGACGGTGCCTATCCACCGGCAATTGAGGCGCCTAACAGCCTCAACCGAAAAACGATCACTAAGGTAGCTCCCACAACAGGGGAAGCTTTCAACCCGCTGAGCAAGGACCTTATTAAAACGCGTCTGCCACAGACACGCGACACGCGACACGCGACGCGACATCGAATGGCCTCCGCCACCCACACAAGCCACACTTCCCTGCTGGCTGCGGGGCTCCGTGCTCCAACCCGCCAACATCCCAAGAAGATGACTTTTCCACAACGTCGTGACATCGGCACGAGAATCCAAGACGACACGCAGTGCACAACACGACTGCTCGTCAGCGATCAAATCTCTTTGACCGTCACTCACTTCATGCCGAGCTGAGACAATCCGCATCAAGGTCGACGCTATCACAGCCAAAGTGCTCCTCTCGCTCAGACGCTTCCTTCCCACCCAAGCAAATGAATCACATCCAATACCACACTCATATGAATAGTCGGCAATTTCTCATCCCCAATCTCAAACGTCGGGTCAGGACTCTCATAGCACGCCGTATTGTCATCCTCCTTCGGGTCTAGCATCCAACTCCCACCCTCCGATCCCCGCTGGCACCCATACAGCTGCGCCATGCCTTCCCGCCTTCAACGCCATATCCTTCATCCGCTGGCCTCAGCCCAGCATCTCATTGATCCTCCTGCATATTTAGTCTCCCCCCTATAACCCCATGCCTGCTCCCCCACCGAATACCTCAACTGTTCAATCTCAGCCAAGACGACTGCAGCCTCACAGATCGCCACTATTCAGCCTTCACAATCATCCGTCGTGATGCCATATCGCTGTCTACAGAGCCACCCTCTGACTAAGTTTTGTCTTCGCTCCCCCTGACCCACGATAAATTTCAACGTCACTACGGTAGATGTACCACATAGTGAAACGACCTGATCGAGATAGTCTCTCGAGTTTGACACGACCGAAATTCCTCTCGGCTCATCTCCTGACATTTGGTGACTGGCATCTCACGTTTATGTCGGTCAAAATGCGGCTCAGACTCAACTGTTCGGAGCACCCGCTCACTTACCAACATAAATTCACCGTCACACAACGTTAGTTCCAACATGAGGTGAGCAACATAGACCCGTCGCGATCTTCACGTGTCCGCAGTGCGTGGTGTGAGGGGCATCAGGATGATAAAGCCGACGACGTCAACGACAGGGTATGAGTAGCAGACAGTAATAGAAGGCCAGCCCTTGGAGCCGAAGTCACGGGGCTGCGTGAAGGATGAGAAGTGAAGAGGCGTTGATAAAGGGGGCGTAGAGTAGTTGGGCTCTGGGGCTGGACCTGGAATTCTGACCGAATGGGCATGAGGATGGCAATTTGGGCCAGTGGCCTTGAAGATGATGTTGCCGAGGTACCTCTGGTGTTTGGAAAGCATATGTTCACGTCGCAAGTCTCTGGATTACGGCCAGCACTCACCGCAGATTGCGACCGGACCTTCGATCGACCGGAAGCTTGAATCTTCCGGTAGGCCGTCTGCGCCGTCAAGAGACTGCAAGAACGTCTACTGGCAAGTAGTATACATTGGATTTAGAGTTGACCGACAGCGTCGGCCACTTGAAAGACGTCTGGTGATCCTATAAGCCAGGCACTCATGTATCTGCCTCCCCGGCTGCCGCTATGTCTTCAGCCCGTCTCGCCTGGAGTTCCTGTGGAAAGGCTTGTTGCCCGCACCGAATCGAAATTATGGTGATGTCTGACCAGAGAGAGGCTCTGCGTTCTATACGAGTCACTTTGGCCTTAATCCGAGAACTGCGAGGTTCAGAGACGCGAGGTTTAGCATACAGTTAATGCCCGTACTGCCAAGTCTCTCATGATGAGGAAGACAGAGGATGGCAGAAAGCCTCCTTCTTCAGTCCGCTGGATCTACAGGAGGTGAAAGGTCCTCGTAGCAAACATCTGAGCCTACTTTGACGCTGGCCGTCTTTTGCGGCTCGAGCGACATGACCCCGAGTGGCTTCAGGGACGTGACTCTATCTCCTTAGACTGATCAGAGGCGCGATTCTCTTCGCGATCTTGTTCCAAAGTCCCGCACGAAAGGGAAAACATAGGCAAGCTCGACCATATGCCTCTAGCCTTGAATTGCGCTCGCGACATGTTACTTGTGGAGAGCACAGCACACCACCTCAGCATGTCATATCTCGTCTATCCCCGTAAACGGGTAGAGGTAGATCGCAAGCAGACGGAAGACAGCCGCAGGCATAACACAACAGACAGTTGTGGCGCCTCTCGGAAGGCTTTAACTTCACTACTCCGCCATCGAAAATTTCTCATCTCGAGAGACACACCAGTCTCCAAGTTCGGACTAATTCGTCTCTGCACGGCTGCCCTCAGCTCCGGTACGAGCCAAAGTGTGCACATCGTCGCACCCAGGCCTTCATGCAACGAAGACTAGACGTTCGAGGAACGATATAAGACATACACCGGTTTCTCGCGGAGATGCAAGGGCAGAACGTAGAAAGGACGGAAACGAGATGTAAGCTCGTCCCTCGCCGTGCGATGCCTTGCCAAAGTCTCGGGACGATGGTTGCCTTTTGGCTATGCTACAGTCGACACAGACACCGAGGGAGTAGCGAGAGCGCTTGCTTTGGGGGCACTGGAGAACTTCCATAGGAGTGGTGGCTTTGAGAGGGGGGATACCAGGAGGTGGCCTTCAGCGCACTGAAACGAGAATTCCACGAGAAGAAAAGACTCAGCGATTTTGGTAAAAGGGCGAACAACGGACAAAAACAGAACAGAAAGAGAACTCAGAAGGGACATACCCTGAACCCACAAAGGGCAGATCCTTGTCCTGCGCGGCACTCATCATTTCTTTCGCTGGAACTGTTGGTGGCGTCGCACAGCGACTTCCCCATCACTGCAATCGCCAATGATTATGGTAGTGCAAGAATGCAACTTTGTGGACGCCTTCTCTCAACTCAACCCTAACGAACTCCTTTCGGTGCGCAGTGTTGTGGTAGTCGTAACTCTTCAGCTTGATGATCACCCTGAGCCGCCTGTAACCAGATCAGGCCATGAATGGCATGACAGGAAGGCCGAGGCAAGGGTTGGACGGTGTCTAGGCCCGGCCAGATTATGGATAACTTGCGTCTCGTCTCCCGAGATGACGCAGCGGTGTAGCAATTGCTGATACTCGTTCGAAGGCGTCTCGAGGTGTTTGAGATCGAAAGCGGTTCTGTTGGCGTTGTCCGTGGACCACACATCGCCAATGCCGAATGCTGGGCTACGCATTGTGGCATCAAGGAGAGTCTGATCGGTAACACAAAGCCAACACTAGACCTTGCTCGACTTTATTGACGATCGGTTGGCGGCAAAGAGGTGGTCATGTTGCTCGACCAAGTCTAAAGGCAGCAGACTGTCGGTGTATGTCGATTCCGCAACAGCAACGTTAAGTAGAAGGTCTGCAGCGCAGGTGATGCCATATGCAGCAGTAATGTGCAGAATTGAGGCGTCGGGTAGCATCAACGTCAATGCTTTGTGGATGAAATCGCCAACGAAATCTGCGATCGCGCGCATGTGCTGCTCCCGTCCGAGAAGGTATCACGAGTATGTATTCGATCCGCCCTCCTTACGGGCGAGAGGACGGGCGCCAATATCGCCGCAAGTCTGCTGCGCAGCGTAGGCAAGTGTCGTTCATGGCGAAGCTGCATGGGTTGGCCGAGGGAGAGGAAGTCGTGGAGGATTGACCAGTAGTGGACGCTGGATCTACGGCTTCAATCTAAGCTCAAATGGTAGCACCGACATCAAGTAGTATGCCAGCTACTGCGGTCTTTTCAAAGACCGCCGCTGTGTAGAGCGCCGTGTACCCTCTCAACTTGTCGTCGAACAGCAAAACTTCGGGTGGCAGGTCTTCCATAGGCTCCTCCACTTTCCTGGCCAGCGAGCATCAACATTAATGGCTTATGTGAATGTTTCGGGCAGAGCACTCATCTGCCTCGGGCGTGGCCAAAGCACGGAAAGTACGCAAGCTGTGTCGAGGGTGTAGAGAGTGGGTTTGGAGAGTACGCGGTGGTTGCCAGGGGTCTTGCTGAGGGCGTCCAGATCAGCCGACTGGAGCTGCTCGCCGACCATGATATCGGGCGGCAGGTAAGCCATGTTCGATGTTTGTAATGATGCGGGGTGGGGGGAGAGGTCGGAAAGAGGGCCGAGACGTGAAGAAGATCGAGGCGGGAGGAAGATCGAGACAGGAAATTCCGGAAAGAAGGAGAAGAGGTTCGAGAGGAAGGCCTAGAGAACACGAGATCGTTTCGTCTTTCGCACGCAAAAAATGTGGCAGAGTTCTTCAAGCCACGACCAAAAAAATTATTGCATGCCGATGGGAAAGAAATCTGACATGCTAGCAGGATCGAGATGGCTGCTGATCGTGAGCTGGAGAATGACAACCTTGATTTCCTGAAGGTGGAGGGAAGAAAGGGAAATACCGCCGGCACATTCGCGCTGGCAAGATTGCAGGAAGGAAGAGACGAAGATGAGGAAGGTAGAGACACCACCTGCCTCTTAGGCAGCTATCCATCAGTCGATGTGGGTGCCGTCCCTCAAGGTCCCTACTAGTGGAGTCCCTACCAGTGGAGTCGCTGCCATGCGTCGCTGCTATGTGTCGCTGCCATGTGTCGCTACCATCTGTCGCTGCCATGTGTCACTGCCATCTGTCACTGCCATGTGTCGCTGCCATCTACCGCTGCCATTTGTCGCTACCACAGCGCCTGTAATGTTTCTGTGTAAGTACCGACCTCGTGCGTCACAACCAGTCGGCCCTCAATGACGTAGTCTCCTACCACCACCGCTGCTTTGGTTGCGTTGTGTCTCATTCCACTTCAAAGCCCTTATTCACACTTTCCTACCTTACCTACCTTTAGACATGTCGCCACATCATGGTACTGATCAGTGCCAACTACGCCAGGCCTCGCCAAGCATCACCTTCACACCATATGTCAAGAGATTCATGGCTTTGATTCCTGTGCTTGCTTGGTCACTTGACACAAAGAACACGTCCTAATCTCTTGTCCCCATCCATCTCGCCTTTGTCCCCACGCGGCTCACCCAGCAATGCTCTGTGCCAGTGTGGAGGTCTCATCATCGGTCTTTCTCAGGGCCGTCGTCTCAAAGCCAAGTCCATCCAGAACGAACTTGCCTTCCACACTATTCCCTTCGCCAAGCTCAAGCAGCCCCTCCATTTCACTCGCACATTTTCTGCAATGAGATTCGCATCGAATACGACCCCTAATCAATGATTACGCGTTCCAAGATACCCGCCCACCGCGTCCATTCCACTACCGCCAACCTTCTTGCCTCTGGGACTGTCATGGCCGCTACGCATCGCAGCCTCAGCATCCGGTCAGAATCCGGCTCGAATGCCAAGCTGGACAACAGCGAGGTGCTGGACCTGGGTGTTGCATAGCACATCTTTGGGGATCACAATCAACCGAATGCGTCGTCTGCGAAATTTGCTACTCCTCCCATCAAGATAGAACTGCCGTGCGTTCGTCTTATTGAGCAAACCGGGGGCTACCTTCGCGCTGCCTTCGCCAGGAAAATCCCGTAGAATGGTGAAGACGCATGCCCAAACCTCATGAAGTTGGATGCGTGTCTTGTCAGCCTCTGGGTCTGGTGGGCGCGACATGTTTCCTCTCCATCCGCTTCTTTGGCGAATTCCTGCCCAACCCTCCATAGCACCTAGCTGAAGCGCATCTTTTGACACGGATGTCAGCTCCAGAAATAGTCAGCGCTCTCTCTCTATTCGTGTAGAAAATTATCACGAAAGTTGTCGAGTACCACCTGGCTGGCGCCCAACAGCAGCCATGATTGTTCAGTCGTGCAAGGGATTCGTCGTGCACGGTATTTGTGGCCGACGGGCGGAACTGAGCGATGCCTTGCAGCTTGCTTGTGCTTGCTGACGTGCACAAATCTGGCCTTGCTGCGGTGGAGGACTCGTGGATTTCGAAGCATGATGGGTCCGAAGAGAATTGGCGAGTGACACGGCGGTAAAAAAACTTTTGTTCTTCTCTATCCATAACATATTGCTGCGTTGCAAATGCATCTTGGATCTATAAGACGAGCATTTGAGTACGTCGAGGCCTGCGGCTTACTACAAGTACGCAACTCTCAGCAAGGCGTGCCTGAGCATCATCGTCTCCGGCAGGCAACGAATTTGCCCCATTCTTCTCCTTCGTGCTGTTCCCACTGAGGATGCCCTCGGATCTAGGCGGTCGAGCTTGGTAGCTGGCCCGATAGAATCGGCCTTGCTGCGCTGTGAGAGCATCAGTACACGCGGCTAAACCTCCACGGCCGCCTCTTAGCAAACAGGCACGTCTGAGACGCAGCGGACAGGTATCAGCACCCTTCACGGCTTAGAACCGCCACAGCGCCTGTCATCCATTTGCACATCCGCACTGACATTCCGCGGGAAGGAAGCCATTGCATCGAAAGCCATCGTACCCATACGGCTCTTGCACCCATTCGCAACAACGATGTTTGCATCCCCGTCGGCGAGCAAATACCTGGGGGAAATGGGAGAGGAGGGCGGGGAAGGTTCCTTCCCTCGTTCGAAAGGCCTTGCACTCACGGCGGACGAACGCCTTCAGTGGACGCGAAGGCTCGCTCATCTCAGCTCTGATGATGACGACTCAACAGCGTCGGCAGAAGCATTCGCTGGCAGTGGCCATCCATATGAAAAAGAGCACGCGCAGCGGGGAAATGCTGGATCAGATGTGACGGTCGCATGTGCTCTGCCCGTGGCAGAGCACAGAACGGAGGCTCGGCCCACGCGTGGTGGCCTTGGTTTTGGAAGGGGTAGTGACCGAGAGAAAACGAGTAAAGATGGCAGGAATGAATGGTGATGGGACGAGCACTTCTGTCATCTTGGTAGGCACGTCCGTGCCACTGACTGCCAGCATAGCAAGGCCGGGACCTTCCGAGGCAGATTGCCCCCTTCCGCCATGTCCCTGACTGGGCAGTCATTCCCTCCTGCCCGACACTTGTCAGCACCCTGAGGACTTCAAGTCCTTCCAGTTGAGTGGGTCTTGGTTCAGAGCTCACATTCTCCGTACTAAAAATCGTGAGCTCTGTCCACCTCACGTGGGCACCAACCAGCTGTACCTGCCTCAAGCAGGAGAGGTGTCCGTACCTTGTAGATGGGATAGGAGTGCACAACGTTATGCACCCCTGCCCGATGTGCACATTTTCCGCGGTACAATTATTCTCCGCTGCGAGGTGCTATCCCCTCGGCCGACCTGAATGTGCAGATGCATGGATAACACTCATTGCAGTTGACCTAAAGGAACCTGCCAACTCTGAACTTTCGCGGCGATAGCCTGACCCACTGTCTTTGGAGCAACCCGCCGTCCAGTCTTGGTGCCTCCTCCCTCTTCTTCATTCTGAGCGCAGTGCGCACCGTCTTGTGATTGTGTCCGACCGACCTGCGCAGGAGTCCGAGATCACAACAATTCTTGCAAGGCAACATTCACTCTACCGCCGTCTCCCTCCACCCTCTCTCAAACCCGCTTATGCCACGCATCAACCGCACTGTCACGTGCAGGTCTGGCTCCAAGCCCACGTTGTGCGTCTCTGCTCGGTTGGCTATCCCTCTCGATTTGGCTTCGTCAGGCCATTCTATCACCAGTTGCACTGGACCATATTACGACACACGAGACTGATCACCACCCACGTTCGCACAAGTGAAGGAACACCGGCGGGAATACCCTGCCCAATCTCACCACAGTCGGTCGCGTCTCCCCTCTCCGTGCTTGCCAAAATCAACTCCGAGCAAGAACAGAGACGAGAACAGAGATCGCGAGGGCCTGGGTCAAAGCCAAAATGTGCCAACCTGCAAGAGAGCATTGGGATGGAAACCTGTTGAGATCCTGTCGTGATCCTGTCGGGCACTTCAAAATCTGGCATCCCACAGCGAAGGTCCGGTGTGGCGAAGGAGGTCCTGAGCCTATGTTGCTATCCACGCCAGTGTCGTCGCGGGACTCGAGGCTTGGAGTGGCAATACTGGCTCTTGGGTGTGGCGTTTGAGTCGCAGAAGTCGTACCCAGCTCTCCCAAAATTTGCATCCTTCATCTGGGTTTGTTCGTCCGTTGGCTAGCACAAAGGATGCTGAATGTGCCTGTCGTCCGGGGCGTCTCGCTTGGGGGAGGAGGGGAATAATGTGACACCGGCCCTTCAGCCCGACTTGCGCGATGATCGCCTGGCCCGGCCGGACTCGTGTATTTCGTTGTCCATGTCCACTCTGTCACGCGCGACATGACTGTTTGTATTGTACCGGTGAGAGTGGTGTGCCATAGTCGCAGCGATTTTCAGAACAACCACCAGACCGGACCACTTCGGAACCGCTTGGTGCACACGCGTGCTTGCGACCGTCTTGCATCACGACTTCTCCCAAAGGGCTTCTCCATTATGTGCCGCGGTAGAGATGCGAAACACTGGCATAGGGAATTCGATTTTGATTTCGTGGATGCGGAGCCTGGGTTGTCTAGCCCAAAACCACTACTGGGCCGAGTCTAGGCACGCCTCGCCACACCACTTGCTTCGTAAACCACAATTGTGCAGCACCCAGCCGATTCCGAGCCTGACTCCCTCTGTAGCCCCCACGCCCAACGAGGTGAAGAAAGCTCCTCCAGAATTGACCTCAATCCACGTGAGAACGTCCGCACCATCCTACACCCGCACCCTCATACGCCATCCCATGTCCCACCACGTCTGCAACATGGGGCTTCGACTCCGAATGCAACTAGGCAAACGAGCAAGACGCATTGCCTCAACGAGATGACAGAGAAGGTCGAGCAGGGCAAAATGCACGCACGCGCCGACAAGAAGACAGAGTGGTGTCGACGAGTTGAAGGAAGTGAACAGGCAGGCTTTCATAGCTGCTGGCAGACTAACCTCAACGCCAACGCCGTCCAAGGGGCGCGAGACTGCCCGCTTGCCGAGGACCGGCCTAGGCAGACCAGGCCCACGGCGGGCAAGGGAGGGACTCCTCGGGTACTGGGCTCGCTCCGGTTCTGGTTGACCCGTGGAGGCGTGCGGACCCAGCCGGCGGACCCCGGCGCCAGCAACCCCAGGTTGAACAGGAGGCACTCGATGCCTGCATCGAC